AAGCGAAGTTGGACTCACCACTTGCCCACTTGCCTCTGTCTGCTGTGAGTAACGTGAGAAAAACTTGGAAGGCCACTTCCGGACCTTCCGGAAGTCTGTGGACTTGGCCTTTCGGGACTGTAGCAGCTACGACCTTGACCTTTCAGGGCTGTAGCAGATACGACCTTGACCTTTCAGAATTACTACAGCTACGGCTTCTACACAACTATGACCCCTACTCGACAGACCTACAGATCGAACCCCTACAGCTACACTGACCTATGACAGACAACAGTCAACTACCAAAACACAGGTCACAGATTCAAACACACAGGGGTCGACTCGATACTGTACACAGGTGTGGTAAGGTCTAGGGATCGAGCCCTGGGATCTGCATCTGCTACTGCTAAGGTGAAAACCGTTTCACTACTGTTACTACACTATATTCTTCCCTCAAATTATTTTTTTTCGCCTTTCACTACCTACCTACCACTACTCCTAAGACTATATAGAGGGGACACCTGCCTGCAAGCATAGCTACCTCTCACGACGAAGGGGATATTGCATGTTGGCCCTTGCCCTAGTGGTTAAGCGTGCAGGGTTGGGGCCACCAGTCGAGGTCCGGCTAATGCAAAGACCGAGCATTTTGCCAGTAGCTGCGCCTCCCTTTTCATCGTCCCCGCCCCCCATCAAGTACCAGCAGTGTCTAAAGCCAACACTCTCCCACACACCACACAGAACCCACTCATGCTTACACTCACCCCCATGTTGGCCAAAGAGCCTATTAATACCCATCGGAGGTATCAAGCAGACTGTCACAGCTGGTTGACACTAAGTGTGCCGCAGGCGGTCATGGGGCTCGAACCCCCAACCTCCTGAATGCCCCTTGTGTGCCTAACCAACTAAGCGAGGCCCCTGGATTTTCTTGCAGTTTCTCAGTGGGCTGTAACACTAACTGGGCAGTGCTGGGCCGGCAACCGGCCGGTTGAGCTATTCCGGCCCAACTGGAGCCGGACCAGCCCAGGGGGGGTGAACCGGGAAACCGGTTTTGAAAAATAGTGCTCAAATATCTTCTTCTTTTTTTTTGGGGGGGGGCGATTCCGACTGCGCTCTTCAAGAGCTGTCCGAATCCGCAATAAAATTTTCAAGGTACAATATGTTTCAGCGGGCTTCCAGAGGGGGCAGGGGGTTATTATTGACATATTCAGGCAACTATGGCTTCCTCGGGGAGGGGTCAAGTAAGCAAGTTCACTTATCCGAACCCCCCGTGGCTGGAGCACTTCGTGGAGTATGTCATTTGAGATTGATACCCCACGATCTGAACCAGATACGATGAGAGGAGGTCCTTGCCCGAAATTATAGCTCTTCCAGAGTATATTTCGACAGCAGAAAAGTTATGGTTCCAGCTTTCAGCTCGTGGAGGCAGAGCGTTTTCTGTTTGTTGGTTTCTACATAAGGTGAGTTGTCAGTCCGGAAGTATCTTGCCTAGCAGTCTGTCCAGATACATGTAGTGGAGCAAGGTCCATTCGAGATAGATAGAAAGAAGAATATAGCTTAGGTCCGTTCTTGGGATTGCACCTCGGACGGCTCTGATATCACGATTCCAAAATCTGAACCCATAACTTTTTCCGCAGATGGCAGGGACGCCGCAGAAGGATATAATCTCAGCAGAGTCTCATCAGAAGTGTAGTGTTCCCCTCGTGGCTGAGGGTGAAAGAGCATCAGATGTTGCCAATGGTAACTGGTCCATTGGACCACAAGATGACAAATTGGAGAAGGGGCCTACCCGACCCACATCTTAGGAAAAATGTGTGGCTTTTCTCCGCAGCTGATCTGCACAGATCAGCGGCGGATATCCTCTGCCCGTTTTTCTTAAGAAATGGGGTCCTGGCCGATCTTTGCCGCTGATCTGCGGCGATCGGCGGCCAAGATTGGCCAGTTTCTGGACTGGAAAAATCCGGGCCTGCAGGACCCGGTTTCGAAATTGCGGGGCAGGGCCCGCCCCCACGAGGCCTCGGGAACACATACGCGCCGGCCAAAAAAAAATTTCAGCCCCCAGCGAAAATGCGCTGGGGGCAACCGGGAGGGAACTGGCCCGGGACACCGGCCGGTCCAACCGGGAGGACCGCGGATGGGGTAGGGGTCCCCGGTCCATCCGGGAACCAGCCCTGTAACTGGGTAATTTTTTGTAATGGGTAACTACGGCGCAGTCATGAAAGCAGTTTGTAATTGCATTTGAAACTGCGATTTAGCAGTTTAGTCACGGCCCGAGTTTCGATTGCAGTTGAAACTCGGGCTGCGCAGTTCAGTCAGGGCCCTCGTCTATCCMCGAACAGCAGATTAAAAAAAAAAAAAAAAAAACATCCCTTATGCTGTGGTCGCGGTCCTATACAGGATGCTACAGTGTTTGTCTGGAACTGAATGAAGCGAGGCAGTTAGCTGCCTCGCGTGGAATTCCCCCTGCCTGGCTGGCAGGGCGCTACAAGGACCTCACACAAGAAACAAAAAAGGAAAACGACCTGTTTCATGTTCCTCGCTTCCTGGCCAGATACATTCCTCAAAGCACTGGTGAGGTGAGGGCCTTCCCGACCTGGCAGAGTGGGCTTGGAAAACAAGATCCACGCCAACGGGGACACAGAAACGTACCAACATTCTAGACTACTCGACCGGCTTCAGCTATAAACGCAGACGAAGACCAGGAAACACAGAACTCATCTTGTCTCAGCGGTGGGAGAAACATATCCGGGCTGCCTGGGGGATATGGAGAAGATTGACTGGCAGGTCCCCCTTGCCATTAGAAACACCCGAAGAAGCATGCAATGGCTCATATGCTATCAGGCCTTGCCGGTCAACACATGGCTCAGCAAGAGAAGGTCGGTAATGGCCAGAAGGGACTTCGACGACAGCTGTGCAGTCTGCGATGCGGGAACCCTCGAGGATTTGCCACGGTCTGATACACTGCCCAAACGCACAAAGGCTTTGGGACAGAACACGGGCGCTCTGGTCTGCGATTACCGGCACACCACTGCCAGATAACCTGCTGACACGTCTAACGGGCCTGGCACAGCCACGTTTTCGAGAAGCTTGGCATTTAACCCTCTTCCGAAGACTTCGCCCCTTTACGTTGTGGATCACATGGAAGACACGATGCAAACAAATGATAGCTGGCCAAAACACACCAACCCGGGAGGCCTGGGTGCACCTACTACAACTCTTACGGACGGAGTGCCAGGCGGACCGGCACTAGGCAACCAAGAACATTAAATAAGACCCCACAAAAAAACTTGAAAAAAGCAAATAATCATAGACAAATTCATCAAAGACCGGCTCGGAACCGGTAAACTTGGCACCGTAGAAGGCGCTCCCCCGAGACTAGTATGTAAGCTGCAGGAAGAACAATAAGCGAGAGACCGCATAATGGACCTCGCCTCGTTAGAAACAGCGCGTTCACAGCACAGTATGCTGGATATGAACTCAGCATAGAAGGCACAAAAGAGCTAGCGTTTAAGAAAAGAGGGAGTCGTTTGACAAGTAGTTACCTCCGAGGTCCTACGAGCCGGTCCGGTAGGTTAGTGTAGGACTATGAATATAGTCAGTCTGTGAAGTGTTATAGAGAGGTCTTTGAGCTGATGGTCTTTGGTGGGCAAGTTGGTGTTTGGAGACTCTGTGGAAGTCGCCAGGCTGCTGGAGCAACGCGCTGCTAGGGTTTCAGGTAGCACTGAAGCAAGCGCTTTAGCTGCTGGGCCTGGGGCCACCATTTTGCGCTGTTGGGGTTTCGGCGCTGCCATTTCTTCTTCTTTGTGGCAGCTGTTCTTCTTCTTCTTCTTCTTCTTCTTCTTCTTCTTCTTCTTCTTCTTCTACTTCTTCTTCTTCTTCTTCAAGCTGGAGGTTCCTTCTGCATCCTGGCGCTGTCCACCGCCTGGGAGATCTCTGTCTCAGCTCTGTGCATCTGAGCTAATCCTGGAGGGGGGCTGGGGTTGTTGAGGTTGTAGGAGGGAGGCGCTAGAGGTCTGCAGGTTTTCTGAGGCTGGGCGCCGTGTGCTGTGCTGTGCACCATAGTAGCCGTTGGAGTGGGGGATGAGGTCGGAGGGGCGAGGAAGACTCCGGAAGCTTGTTGAAGCTATGTTCTGAGTTTGCTCAAGTTTTTTTTTTTTTTTTTTTTTTTTTTTTTTTTTTTTTTNTTTTTTTTTTTTTTTTTTTTTTGACACACGCGCTCCATCTATTGGTGGGGAGCAGCACCTGCTGGAAACCGGGTCCAGCGTCCCACAGATACAACCATATCCTCTCAAATTGGCACGAGATGGGAACCGGGCCCAGTGTCCCTTGAGTAATCAGAAAATTTCATGACAATGAAACGAAGGGTATACTGAGGCTACTTCAGAGCTTTTTTGTAAGGAACATTCAGAGATAAACAAAAACCAGAAGAAGACTCGGGAATCCACCAACAGTCCTCCTCACCCCACTCCGGCAAGACTTACTGCAGCAAAGCCACCATCTCTACTGCTGCTATGCCCTATTTCTGTCCTACCAGCTAGCCCCTTCACTAGCAGGACGCGTGATACCTTTCTCTCTCGATCCCTTACCTTCCCGTTACTCAGAAAAGGTACGGGAATAGACTGCAAAAGTCCTAAAAAAGCCCCCAATCTTTACTCACGATTGAGATTCTTGGGATATTTATGGGAACTGATTGAAGCTGGAGAGAGGCGAGGGACTGTGAATTGATTTTTCTAACTTTTCTTTCAATTCTCCCTGATTGTTGAGTTTCTGCTGTTCACATCTCAGTCTGGGTTGGTGTTAAATCCCTCTCCAAGTCTACTGTGACATCTCGCATGTGTATGGGAACTTGGTGATGCATTGCTGGATTGCGATTCAATCGGTCACATAACAGTTGTCTCTGTAATGATGGTGATGGGGTTTTCCCAATGAACAACCAGGCAATTCGTATATCCCAATTTAGGATGCAGAGAGGACTCTGATAATCTCTGATTATTGGTTTCTATGGGTCCTTTTTTTGATGGCAGGAAATTCCAGAGCGAGGTATAGTTTAGCACTATGTTTACAACATGGTCGTGGAATAAAAAAGGATCCTTCTCAGGCGGTAAGTTACACAAGATCCACATCCCCTATGCTTGCCGTTGTTCATTCACCATATCCCCCTTTCTTTCTTTCGCTTTCTCTTTCTCCCCCTTTCTGCCCCTCGCTGCTCTTCCACAAAGAAATATCTTTTTTTTTTTAAGCTTGGTGCGCCCTCGTTTACTCCCTCCCTTCACCTTCGATGCAGCATTCCATGAGGAGGTTTTGCCATTACCTAGGTGAATAGTGAGAGAGACTTTGTTTGGAGGTGGAGTGCCTCCTGAGGGGAGGTTTGGCCATCTTCTCTGCTGTCTGGAGGTCTGACCTTCTTGAAGACTTGAACTGATCAGGAATTCATGCCAGAGAGGGTAGCAGTTAGGTCACGCTTCTTGATCCTATCTGGAATTCATGACAGAGAGGGTAGCTGCTAGGTCAGGACTCAGGACCCTATAGCAAACAAAGGAACCCTAGAATACTCCCCTTCGTAACTCAGCATTCCGAGGGGAGGCTTGGCTGTTCGTCTCGCTATTGCGAGGCTCACGGCCTCGATAAGCCCTACTGGGCCCTGTTTTCAGCAATATCGGCCGCCCTAAGTGAAGGCAGGCCTGACCAGGGGACGAGAGGCCTATTTTGGGCATCACACGCAACTGGGAAATTCAGGCAGTTGCGCAGTGCCAGTTGGTTGAGAGAGCCCAGGCCCTGCCTGCCTTTTTCCTAATGTATCTGAGGCAGGCCCTGGGCTAGACACAGGGCATGGGCTGCACACAGGCCGCTGGCAGTTGGACATGGGTAACCACCCCAGGCCCTCTGCCTGATTCCCCTGGACTGGGGCTCAGCCACTTGGGGCCTACCGGAAGCTTCTGGGGAGGGGCCCAGCACAGCCAGGCAGCACGCAGCAGGCAGGCCACTTCCAGATAGGAAAGTGCCTGCCTCCGCATTCGCCATTCGGGCACTTGCTACATGCTGCGCTACTGGCAGGCAAGTGTCCATGCGCTCACAGGCGAGCAGGACACACGCAGGCAGCCATAGCCGAGCTGGCCTGCGAGGTGCTGGATGGGGCGCATGGTGGTCCTYGGGTGCACGTGGCATCTGTGTGGGGGATCGAGGTTGTGAGTGATGCGTGAGACATACCTGGTGCTTGAGGCGAACGGCATTGGCCGAGATCTGCTCGTACTTCGGGGAGTTGTTGACATCACCAGCGGCATTGTTGATAGGCTAGATAGGATCTGCCATTCGTAGTTTGGGCGCTGAGCGCTAGATACGGAATCGATATTGGTTCATTGCTGATGATAATGAGACTATTCCAACATTGTTACTTGTGAGCTTTTGCTGTGCTCTTATTTGGTGGAACTCGTGTGTTGCAATTCGGTTTTTGGTTCGAGGTCACAACTATCTGGTTTCATGTGTATGATGCTGCTTGGTTTCTGGAATCCGCTATCGCTGATTTTCCTTGCATTTTGGTATCGAAGTTGTGGTACGTTGCGTTAATCTGGCGCTTGTCTTCTGCCTATGCGGTACATGCATGCGATCTGCTGGGTGAGCGGCCGTAGCAAGTGTGTAGTGAGGAGAGCGAAGGCAAGCAGGCGACCCAGGCGGAGAGGGGTATAGCCAGGAAGGCTGTGTGGTGATATGGGGTGTTTCGCAGTGTGATGAGAACTATCTGATGTGCGATTGATGCTGAGGTGGAACGGCGGTGTAATGCTGGTTGTGCCGAAGCAATGAGTGGTCATCACAATCGGCGTCAGGTCATCTGGTGAGAATATATGTGGTTGGGGGCAGCTATTTTGAGGTACGTTGCTCTTAGCCTTATCTACCCTCTTCGACACTTCTTACCGTGAGGATGTGTGTTATGTCTTGAGAGTCATCTGATGCGAGGAGTCGAGTGCACTCAACCTTGAGAGTCGGCATTGTTCACGTGGACCATCTGGAAGGAGAGGGCGAGCTATCTGAAGGGCCCTGGACGAAGCACTAGGTCACGGTCACGATGCCAACCCGCAGGGAGTGGGGCACGCATGCCTTGCTGCTTTGTCCTTTGTCTGCCTGCTGCGCTATAGATGGGTTATGAGGGGCAAGCCAGCCCTACTAGGGAGACGAGTACCGAACGTCTATAAATAAATACCGGCGGGGTTATCTTCCATTGGCTGTGATCGTCGTCCTGTTTGCGACGTTAAATAATTCCTGAGGACTTTGGGGGTCGTCCTGAAATGCCTCTTGATCAGCCAATCAGTCGGTGTAAGGCTCGCTGCACGCGACGGTAAACATGGTGCGGGGCTGGCCAGCTCAACATTGACTCGGGGTACAGGTGTGGGCCGTGTGCACACCTTTAGACACGCACACTATCTGGATTGCTCAAGGACGCTGACGTCAAGCGACAATCAAGAAGAACTGAGGGAGGGGTAGATTTCAGGTGATAAGTTCGGGAACAATTCCACTCTGCCAACAACCAATTAAATTATTTTATTTTTACTTTGATTAGCTAGATGTACAACCATTAACATCTGACAGACAGCATAGGTAGAACTGTTTCTGCTTGTTTGCTTTCTGTTTGCGGGCTAGTAAAGTATAATAGTTTCGTTTGTAGGAATTTGGACTTACCCGTTGGACCCAAATGTGTATACTCTAACATAGCCACCGATTAATATCGGTTTGAGCACTACTCTGCGGTAGGCAACTTAGTCTGTCCTAGTGCAGACACTGCACAGTTCTATAGCTTATGAGCGACAGGAATCCTAACTCGGACGATAGGATCCTGCGCTCATCAAGACGCCCATTGGTCCACTTAGCGTTAGGACCAGAGGGTAACCGGTTTCTGTTCCGCCAGCTTAGGGTGAGGCAGCAACAGCAGCGGAGGGCTAGGGACGCAAAGGCAAGCAGAGCCTTCGCAAGTGAGGCAGCTACTTCAGCAGCCATGGCAACCGCTGCGCAACAAAGTTCTCAGGCCAGTAGTTCAAGAACTGTTGAGGCGACGGTCGCACAGACCCTGAGTCAGTTCGCTGGCATTATGGCAAGTCAGCAGTTAGTGTTAACTCCTGACGAGGTCGCCATACAGAGAGCAAGTGCCCATGATGCACAGCTACAGACGGCGTTAGATGAGATACAGGCAGAGAAGGAGAGGATGATCAGAAGGTGGTCAAGGATGCAACGGCGTCAAACGGACATTAGAGAGTTAAAGGAGATGGACCTGAATGATGTGAGGACCGTGAGGACAGCCCTGTTAGATGTAGTAGAGCGGGAGGACTACCACACGTCGCTCTTGCAGGACATTCAGCGGAGCCTGGTCGTGCTGGTCGGGTGAGTTCAAGCCGCACCATCACCATCGAGGCCCGGTGCCTGGCCCGTGGTACAACCTCCTCCTTTTGTCCCACCGGTGACTGGAGTATCCCCATTTGCAGTCTCTCCAGCTTCGGCTACTAGGTATGCCTTTGACAAGCGGGTTACCAGCAGGTCCTAGTGTAAAGGTTCCTGTTCAGACAATGTTCTCCCAACCTCCGTTACAGATTGTCGTAACTGGGCTGCCTGCTGTCTCGCAGCCGGCACAGCCGCAGGGTACACAACCCCAACATCAGCTAGTGCAGCAGCCTGCACCCCAGGCTCCACAACGTGGAGTGGTGCAGGCACCGGGACAAGGACAGTGGGTCCCTAAGAGGGGTGAGGACCTCGACATATGGTTGAGGTCAGTCTATGTGAACTGCAAGTTGACCTTGCCTCACGAGGAAGTGCTTGTGGCTGCCTCCTACCTGGAGGGGAGTGCAGCAAGGTGGCTAAGCAGGTATGTACAACTACAGGGATGCGATCATGACTTCCGCGCTTGGGCAATCAACCAGAAATTGAATGACCTTCTCAAGCTGGTGGAAGAAAGGTGGCATGATCCGCAGGAGGCCCAAACGGCCACTGATGCGATCCTGACCCTGAGCTCAAGGAAGTTCAGGTCAGTAAGGGATGAGGATAATGACACATGACACAAGATATGAAGAAGAAGATGACATGAGCTTTATTATCATGGTGTAATCAACTACCTCCCTTCACTCCTCGACGAACACTGCCGAGGAACCCAATCCTTCTGCTCACACACCGCTCAGATTGAGGATATCCACTATTGCATTCTACTCATTTATACTAACTCACCACCTCTTACTCTCAGCTCCTACCCCGTTGTCATATGGCCGGTACTTCGAGAAAGTTCTTCCAAAAGTCCGTTGCCCCTTCTAAGCCTCGACTAATTTCTTGAGGGTACGAACCTTAACGGTTCGCAGCCGACTATGTCAAAGAAAACAAAATTCTCTATGCTTATCCGTGCGAAATTGTTTTATCCGGGTTGCAAAAATCCTGAAAAATCCTGCAAAAAAAAAAAAAAAAAAAAAAAGGACAGAAAGTCGCGAAAAACACTTTATAAGCAAAATATATTACTTCTCTAATTGCTGCAATACGACAAACCCGACAAACCCGATGTTCCACATGCTTACCACGCGGTTTTTCCACTCTATCTGAGTGGTCCCTTTGTTCTGTGGCTTGGTGCCAGATTCCGTGGTAGCTGGCCTGACAGAGGCCGTTGGAACTTATTCTCTCGGTCTCGATCTGGGCCCAACTCATGTCCGTTCATCATCCGGACCAAATCAGAGACCCGATCCCAGAGTTCACGGTCATCCCTTCTCTTAATCCATCTTATCCCGACGGTAACCGTTCGGCCAGGAATGCCCAGTTTCCTGAGTTCTTCTTGCAGAGTAAGAACGTTCCAGCATACTAGCCCGTCGTCGTTCGTGTTCATGGAGATCCGCTGAATCGTGTTGGCAATAGTGGCAAACTTCGCAGCCTTAGGCCCAAATGAGGCGAAATCTTTGTAAGTACGCACAGCCAAAGGCTGCTCTTCCCAAGTAGCCGTTGAATTTTTAAATTTGTGTGACATCATAATGGCTGCCTGCGTATCTGATACCATCAATCTCGTCTCAAGGAAATCAAGAACCCCAACGTYTGGGTCAGTGCGCTGAAGCTTCAGGCCTGGTGGATAACAGGTCGTAACCTCATCCA